ATTTTAGGTGCAGGAAAATTAATTGATCACTTACTGGACTTTTGGGTTTTAGTTGCTATCATGTTGATTCTAAACATTTTTGTATTTACAAAATCTTGAAATTATGGCTGTTCTCTCATCTTAGGGGTGTGTCAGATGCAAAAAATATCAGAAGTACGTAGGTCAAATTATGCAAGAAGGAGAGCATGGGTTTGCTGAGAGGACAGAAAAAAATTACTGAGTTGGAGAAAATCCTGGTGGAAAATCTTAAGATTCCAACCCATGTTCCTCAGGTTGAACGGAAGAGAGATGGCCAGAATGCACCACATCCAGCCAGCCAATGGGAAGATCCCCGAGCCTAGCCTCTTCATTAAAATGTCCAAATACTTCACCCTCATTCCAGACAGTTTCCCTGATGCTGAGAAAAACCAAAGGTGAGGGGCTGGATTGTGTTTCAACCCTCTTAAAAACCCTCCAGAAAGGGATACCTGAGGACTGCGATCAACAAAATGTCAAATAATAACACAATCCAGTTAGTAATATTTTCAGACTAGACATAGATTTGTCAGATGTGTTCTAGCCCCATTACAGTAAATTCAATTATTTCTGTGGGACTTAATTTCTCAGTAAGGAGGTTTTTGCTGTGTTTGCAGGTGAAAGAACTCTGTAGTGTAGTACATTGTGATACATTGTAAACATATATTCGCATGATCATGTCATGATGTTGAGTGGAAAAGTCAATTGCAAAAATGAATTTCCATATTAACAGTATCTCTCCCACCCAATCCTGTAGGTACCAGCAGGAGATCCCCAGCACTTCCCAGCTGCAGCAGGAGATGGAGAGTCTCAAGGGGGCGCTGCTGCCACTCAACTCACCTGTCGTCTTCTGTCATAATGACCTGCTCTGTAAAAACATTGTCTACACAGAGGCTGAAGGTCTGGAAGAGCTTTAGTCTCTTTACCTAATGTGGCTTTTAAAAATGTGACTTAATGTGTACATGTAGATGGAATTTCTGATGTTACTGACAATTTCAAAGGAACACACAGTTGGGAGGAGGAATTTTTTTAAATGTGTTTTTTTTTCACAGACAAGGTGACCTTCATAGACTACGAGTATGCCAGCTACAACTTCCAGGCCTACGACATTGCCAACCACTTCGATGAATTTGCAGGTTTGACTATTTGCAGGTTCTATTACAACCTGCTTGAAAATACTATGACATCAAAATCATACGACATCCTTCAACAGATGTGACCAATCCGTTAGTGGCTTATTTTCAATGTGAATGAGACTATTTTGTGTTTTTTTGTCCTGAACTTTAGTTAGAACTTTGTCCTAAATAAACTAAATGAAGATTTTCTCCCCTGCAGGTGTAGATGAGGTTGACTACAGCCTGTACCCAGACAGGGAGTTCCAGCTCACCTGGCTCAGGAGTTACCTGCAATACTTCCACGCAGACCGGCCAGAACCAGTCACGGACAGGGAGGTGGAGATATTGTATGTCCAGGTCAACAAGTTTGCCTTGGTGAGTAAATTATATTATATTAATTAAGCCCCTGTCATACATTCAACACCTTTCTATGACTCCCAATCTGAACGCATCTAAGAAGAATATGACTTATAAAGACTATAAAGAGTCTTATAAAGACTCAGACAACAGAACACCTTGGAAAAGGCCATGGTGGGCCATGTGTAATGGACTTAAACAAGGAGTCTATGTATACTATGTCCAAAAATGATACACAGGATTTTTTTGTAACTTGTATTTTGTTATGGTTTTTTTTGTGCCTTGACCTCTTCCCTTATGACCTCAATAAATGGCCAGCAGGCTGATTTGAGTATTTTATGATTATGAAAGTAAAGGCTCAAACAGAAAAAAATTTACAGAAGAGTTTTTGTTCTGGCAGGCTGCTCATTTCTTCTGGGGACTGTGGGCACTCATCCAAGCCAGGTTCTCCGCCATTGACTTCGACTTCCTGGAGTAAGGAGACTTGTTTGATCCTTTGAGTCATCTAGTTATTACTTTTACCACAGTTTGAAGTACTAGTAAATAAGTTCAGAATTCTTACATCTTTATTGCCCTCTTGTTGATTTCTGGATTAAGTTCATGTTGAATAGATTTTCAACTCCTATCTTGTTTTACCCCACAGCTATGGCATCCTACGGTTTAATGAGTATCTCAAGAGGAAGGACGAGTTCTTGGCATTACAACTTCCTGAGTGAAGATCGTTATGTCTCGAGTGAAGATTATCTTGACCAGAATGTCCTCCCACCATGTTGTACATATTGCTGTAATTCTTGATTTTTTCACGACACTTTCATGTTTGCGGTTTTCATGGTCACTGACTTCTGTATCACGTACTTATCAAATGATATGCCAACTTTCTTTTTCTGCACCTGCCGCCTGAACATCTCCATTCAGTTTCTCAGATACGAACTTTTGCAACCGTGAACAGTGAATTACCGTGAAACATTGAATTACAGTATTTCCTGCAATGCTATAAAGATGAGATGAGATTTATCAGTTTCACCATTTTGACGATTGATCATAAAAGATTATGATCACTTTCATAACTGATTAACAACTAGGCGTTGATGAAGGTTAGACATCCAGGTAGAACATTACATGATGCAAAACATGAAGTCGGAGATCACATTTCTCCATGATATATTCAGAGCTTTTGTAAAAGTTTGTTATTTTGGATTTTTCTCATTGATTATGGTCTACGGGTGGCTGGGTGAGCAGGTGATCATGAGTAAGACGAGCAGAGGAAATAAGGTTGTAATCAACAAATCTTAATTTGTGGTTTCTTAACTCAAATTACATTTATTTTACATGTGAAAGTGCTATAGTTTGGCAATGTTTCAAACACACACATAGACACACCAAAAACAATACCTCCATTTTTCATGCAGGTAATAAATCAACAGGATAAACTTTCTGAGGAGTCAGATGCTTAAGACAGCATCCACTACCAGTATCATCAGTGACTGAGAATCAGCCTGAAGACAAGAGTAACCTGTATATAAGTACACGTACATGTACAGACAAGTGGATTTGATCGTTTAGCTTATTAGGTTCTGAAACAGAAGTGTTATTCGAAGCTTCAACCTGCTTCTGCAGAATACTAGTAATGTGTGGAAGGTTACCTGGCCATTTCTACTGTACTGGTGAACTTTCCAGGAGGTATGCTGTCCAAACTTTACATGCACATGTATGTGTTGACAGATTTGCCAGGTATGGGCATGGACAGGTATGGGAGTGTGCCATATAATGTCTTGCTGCTCTGCAATGTTATTCAGTTTTGCTCACTATGAATTGCTTACCTCATAATTGAATGTATCTATTGCTTGGCATTTTGTGTTGTACATGTATAAAATATATTTTTATTTGAGGTTCATGACACCAGCAATTGCTTGTGTGCTTTTATACAGGGTATTAAACTCATTTGAATTTTAAGGAAGACAGTAGGAGAAGAACAATCAAAAGTCTATTGCATTGGGACACATTTTAGCCCTGAACTAGTGTTATGAACATGTGAACCTAATGTTATGAACATGTGAGATAGGTAGCACAGCAATGTGGGATTGCTGGGTTGACACAGACCAGACTTCAGCCTTGCTATAGTTAGATTGCTAAGCTATAGTGCTATATGCTATATAGGAGCTATATGCTATATAGGAGCTATATGCTGCCTTAGGGGAGGTTTGGGCTCTTGTTCATGGTCTACTTTACTGTCTATGAAAGTGTTAAATCTAGCTAAATAGGCTATGTTTTTGCCTTAATTTATTGACCCATAATATCTGTTATTACCACAAAGGTATGAAATGGGTCATGCTTTGTTTATCACACAAAGCAAGTGATTGCCGAGCTTACTATGTGCAGGGCATGCCAAAACTGAGAACAATTTGTTCTGCATACATGTACAAGTTGCAATGTTTTGAAGGTTATTTGTGAATATGTTTGGGTCACACTCTGTAAGGTCAACATCTGAACTTTGTAAATCTGTAAACGGTGTTTTCATATGAAGACATGGAAATAAGAAACTTGTAGTATGGCAGCTTTCCTCCCAACAATATATAATGAAGTATTTCATAATGCATTAGATCTAATGTTTATGCTAGCACCATATAGTTAAAGAGCAGTTAATAAGAAATATCACAGTGAAAGTATCAATAAACAATCAACATCAGTGTTTCCTGTTTTGATGATTTCTAACTGTTTGCTACTTGATTCAAGTTGGACTGACACAACATACTGGAAATCATTTTGTCTTATGCTAGCATAACTTCATAACACAATGCAGCTCTCTCCATGTTTTGACAGCAAGTCAGGCAGACAGGGTCTTTCATCTTAGGACCAAAAATGGTCACTGGCTTTGAAGGTTTGCTAGCTCCATGGACTGATCCATATGGAGGGTAGAGGAAGTTTAAAAACTTTTCTGATGTCCCTCCTTCCCACTGTACAATTAACTACACATGTACTACAAATGTACAAATCTTTCCATTACATTCCTCTTACCAGTTTCAAGATCTAAAGTTTCTGGTCAAAGATTCTGGCTAGCTGCTTGCACACTCTTCAAAGTGACTATAGAAACCAGGTTGACAGAGGCATATCCTTGTGATGACACAATCTGTTATCAAAGATTTACCTTGTAGGAACAGTCATCTGTTGTTATGCCTGTAGATATGACATGATGTCTTGGAGTGACAACCACGCTGTAGGGAAATGCAAGTTCATCCTCATGCAAGTGTCCAGCTGTAGTTGCACCCATTTGTACAATGAACTTAGTTCTTGATGGCAGCTCGAAGCTTAGCTGATCTTGCTCGCGGATTCTCCATCACTTCAGCCCAGTGTGGTCTCATCACCTTACTGGTCAGTATTGTCCACTCCTTCCTCGGCCCCTGCATTTCCACCTCTGGAAGTCCCTCCTCCTTCAGAAGGTCCCCCTCTCGCTTCTTCTGGTGAATACTCGTCCCACCGTGCTGCCTTATGTTCGCACCTTGGAAATATCGTTTTGCAACACGATCTTCCAGAGAGTGGAAAGTTATCACAATGGCACGCCCACCAGGTTTTAAAAAGTATCTAGCAGCCTGCAGTCCTTGGTACAGTTCATTCAGCTCGTCATTCACAAAGATCCTAAGGGCTTGGAAAGTTTTTGTGGCTGGGTGAACTGCCCGGTTCAGTTTGTCAAAGCTAAAGAAAACACCAGGAGGAGCAAGTGCAGAAGCCACGATCCCAGCGAGCTGTTTGGTTGTTGTGATTGGTCTCTTGTTTCGAGCATCCACAATCGCAGAGGAAATCTTCCGTGCATGTCTCTCCTCCCCGTATGTCTTAATAATGCCATACAGATCATCCTCACCCAGGGAGTTTACCACATCTGCTGCTGTCGGCTGTTTGTTCCCAAACCTGTAACAGTAGAAAATATCAAGAAGATGAATAGTTCTCGTGATTCAGATCACTACTGTCAGTAAGTTTGTTCCTAAATTTGTATTACATTGTAGTAACAAATATTTAAAAATAGTTTTGCTGTTGCCAAAACACACAAAACGGTAATGAGCTTGGTAAAGATGTTTAGTCTAGCTCTGAGTATTGATTCCTTCAAGCAAGCAAATCAATGAAGAAGGCTGCCTTCACTTTATGCCTTCACTTTATGATACAATAATTTTACACATCTCCTAGCCCTATAATTACCTCTCCCCATCCATCCGCATGTCCAGTGGCCCATCCTGGCTCAGAGCGAACCCTCGGCCACCCTGGTCAAACTGCATGGAGGAGGCTCCTACATCAAACAGGAATCCATCCACGGTGTTCTCCTGCACGTTCTGGGAACTCAGCAGGTACAGCAGCTCACTGAAGCGGCCCAGCACGGGACGGATGGCTCTGCTGTGGGGAGGAAGAAAAAAATTACCTTTATTATAAGGAAGTATTTTTTGGGGCAGTTTTGCCTGTGGCTTTGTATGCTTGGCCAGGTAGAGACAATTGCAGGGAGTGTGGTTGGATATTTGGTTACTAAGTACTTGATTGACAATGACAGAGAGCCTGATGGTGAGCTAATTGATCACCTGGTTAGATTAAGTGGGCAGTACATGGAGGAATTCAGGATGTGCTGGCCTGTGTGTAATTAGATTATTGCATCACATGTATAATACTGCAACACTATAGCCTTGAGTGAGAAGTTTGTACTGACCCATACTGCTTGGCCATGTTCTGTGCCATGTTGTGTGCAGCAGGGTCCCTGTCCATGGCATACACAACGGTGTCCGGTTGTGCTGCCAGTATAGCCTTCGTGTGGCCTCCAGCACCAAATGTCATATCCACATACACCTATCAAAGGGAAGAAATACAATATAATTTACTCATATGATATGGAGTGGACAAAAATATCTTTTTATTAAATCGTTGATAGATATTTGCTATGGATTATGGTTATATACATAATTTAACTTGACATGACAGGGTTAGGCAAAGATGTATTCAGAGAACTATACCGGCAAGCTGTCACAACTCACCTGTCCTGGTTGAGGATCTAAACAGTCTAGAACCTCTCGGACCATCACTGGAGTGTGCTGCATTCCCGACCTACCGCCCCCCTCCCCCACCCACATGTGGTCACTGTCGTCTGCCAAAAGTCTCGAGTCGCCCATGTGTTCGGCAGCGGACCCAACATTCCGCTTTCCGTACACAGCGGCTGACAGTCTTCTTAGAAGACGAAATCCGTGCGACTCAACTGTAAACATTTTATGAAAATGCACAACGCGTGCAACGAGTCCCGAATGTCATCACAATCACGACCGTGACCTTCGAACTCTTACTGAACGGAAGTAAACGTTCACCCCGGAATTACAATGTCACTTTGCGCATGCGTGTTGCCTAGTGATGCCATTTGACCAATCATAGAAAACATTGGTTTGAATCAACCAATGGCGAGGCAGCATTTTAACGCTCGTTTTTTAACTTTGCTTACGACAAGGATTTTATCGACTTTGTTGCTTGACCCAATTTGGGACCTTTTCCCTCAGATTTTTGGCACAGAAGATCACATTATGCTACCGGACGAGAAGTAAGAAGGTAAGTTAAGTGTGTCCGAGAGCAGTTTGGGCCGTTAAGTCTGTATTTGATGTTTAAAATGTTGCAGTGAAGACACAAACACGATAAAACGTTACAGCGTCGTCTAGTCTGAAGCTTTTGTTGGTGTTGGAAGGGAGGAGTTGCTCGATTCTCTCTTCCTCTTCTTCAGCAAATGTAGAACAAAGAACTGCAGAAATAAAAGTTTTCAACAGGCCAACACTTAAGTCCTGTGTTTAGTCTGGAAATCGAGACCCTATGCATTTTTTTTACCAAGGAACGGTCAACCGGTGGCCTGGCCTGTTTGACACGTAATCTAAACATGTGGTGTTGATGACTGTGTCATAAATCGTAGACACACATAATCTTTGAAAGATAGAGAAAAGGTTTATAAGAAAGCATACTAGTATGTCCTACGTCAAACGTGAGTTCTGTAGAGTATACATGTGCTTTGGCCAAAAAAAGGAGGAACCAGTTTCCAAGTTCTTACATCTAATATTAATATTTTTATGGGAAATTATTATGATTTTTTTTAAATGGTAAGACGTCAATGTGACGAATTCCTTGAAAAACTGTTCTAACTAATTATGCAATTGATTTGTTTTCATATGCAGCTCCATCTTGAAAGATTCCAAGAGTAGCAAGGATCACTCTTTGAATATTTTTAAAACCAGCCTTAATTTGAAGTGAAGGACAGTAACCATGTCGCAGCCTCCCCGTAAACGACGAAAGAGCTCGTCAAATCAAGCCACGACAACGCTGAGTGGAGATGATGACAGCGCTCAGAGCAGCAATATGAAGGTCGTTGTGCGTGTTCGGCCACCCAATGCCTCGGAACGGGAAGACCAAAAGGCACGCACGATCGTCCGCGTGATGGATGAACACTTACTAGTGTTTGATCCGAAAGACGATGATGTGTCACCAAACTACTACCACGGAAAACGTAAACGACGCGACCTGCTGACGAGGAGAAACAAAGACTTGAAGTTCATTTTTGATCGAGTCTTCAATGACATGACATCGCAGCAGGAAGTGTATGAAAGCACAACAAAAGTCATTGTTGATGGAGTTCTGAATGGGTACAACTGCTCTGGTGAGGCTCCATTCTGTCTCCAATGTTTTTGGTTTTAGTATTGTTGATTTTGTATGAAAGAATCATCTACATATATTTTTTACTTCTGTGGGCAGAAGTATTGTTTTGGGTGGCTGAGCTGTGGGTTTGTGTGTCTGTTTATCCAGTCAGGCTGGGTAGGTAGGTAGCATCATCTGCATGGGTGGATAGAAGGTCAACAGGCAGAAGGACAGGTCAAAAGGTCAGACATGTAGGAAATTGATGGGAGCCACCACTGGCCCAACAGGAAGCCGGGGATTGCATAAGGCACCCTTCAATATATACCTTATCATATGGAAGTCTAAAATCTCAGTTTTCTCGTTTAAAAAAATTTATTTCCTAAAAGACAGCCACTAGTACTAATGCCTGTAGCTAAGTAACTCATGACATGAGTGTTGCTGTTCCACAGTGTTTGCATATGGAGCCACTGGTGCAGGGAAGACCTTCACCATGCTTGGATCACCTCAGAACCCAGGTGTGATCTTCCTAACCATGATGGACCTGTACCAGCGCATCGACCAGATGCAGAGTGAGAAAATATGTGATGTTGCAGTCTCCTACCTAGAGGTAAAGTTTTTTTCAAGGTTTCTTGGCTGCAGGTCTCATAATACTTTAATAGATCTAGATCAGGTGATATCAGTCCAACAGACTGACATTTATTGATTAGTTTGCACGGCAGTATTCCCAGTGTCTTGACCCTGAAAGATTTCCCCTCCCCAGGTGTATAATGAGACGATCTGTGACCTGCTGGTTCCGTCGGGTACCCTGGCAGTACGAGAGGACCCACAGAAGGGCGTGGTGGTGAGCGGACTCACCCTGCACAAGGTGAGGACAGGACACTAATTACCAACACTGTGTGCTACCTTTATTGTTTTAGGACAAAGCAACAACTTGCTTCACCTTGGTTTGTTAGATGTGATAGTTTTGACTACTGAAACTTACAGACTTTTGCCTATTCATAACTTAATTGACTAAAGGAAATCTGGTTATTTTTGTTTTTAATGTATTTCTCTCTAGTTAGAATCATGTTGATGCCAGCCTGCCAGTTGCCTCAGTCATGTGGGTTCACATAGTTTGGACTGAGAAGATACAACTCTTCCTTTAATTCTTCCTACACTTAACCACTTGTACAATGTCTTTCCCAGCCACGCAGTGCAGAGGAGTTGATCCACATGTTGGAGTATGGGAACCAGAACCGCACACAGCACCCCACCGATGCTAATGCCACATCTTCACGCTCCCATGCTGTGTTCCAGGTACGACAATTTGTCTAGTCAACCTTTTAACCAGTTACATATATGACCATAGTATTGGTGATACTGATACGTGTATAAACTTGACCAACTTTGAAAACTGTAATCATCCATGGCATTAGTATATAGGATTTTTTAAATTGTGAGTTTCATGTCTATTTTAAATTCTGCACCAAAAAGATATTTTATGATATTTTCCCCGACTTTAGGTGTTTGTGCGTCAGAAGGACCGAACAGCAAACATCAGCTCAGATGTTCGGGTGGCTAAGATGTCGCTGATTGACTTGGCAGGGTCAGAGAGAGCCACGGTCACCACAAACCGAGGTGCCCGGTTCCGGGAGGGGCCGAACATCAACAAATCCCTCCTGGCCCTGGGGAACTGTATCAACGCACTGGCTGACCCACAGGTAGGGTGGGAGTGGGGTAGGGTGTCGTGAGATGCAATAGATGGTCCCTTGGATTTTCCCTTCCCAGCAAAGTGCTGATAAAATCTCAAGTCCGCAAAATTTTATCAGCTCCATCTGAGTCATCTTCTTTGGCAGTTTTGATTATTTTACAAGACAAGCATGTTACTTTTGTATAAGAGTTAGAAAAAGGAATTGCACACTGATTGACCAAAATATTCAGCTGTTTGTGGAGAAGAATTTTGTTCCAATGATAACCTCCCCTGATTTGTCCCTCAGTACAAGGGCCACATCCCCTACAGGAACAGTAAGCTGACCCGGCTGCTGAAGGACTCGCTGGGAGGGAACTGTCGCACTGTCATGATCGCTGCTGTCAGGTGAGACAGCACAACAAACATAGTACAGTTCATAATGGGCTGTTCACCTTTTCATCATCAGATAACTGTACGCTTGTTCAACCCTCATAATTCATAAGAAATTACTGCCCTGAATGATTCAAGTCATACGTTTTGCTAGGTACCAACTTCGTAACAGTGATTTGAAGGTAAAAATTATACAAAAAACATAAGGTATTGTCCTAAGTAACCATTCCAAACATTGTGCCTTCAGCCCCTCTAGTCTGTCCTATGAAGACACCCACAACACACTCAAGTATGCCAACCGGGCCAAGAACATCAGATGCACGGTGAGTTTTAATTATTATCGTCATTGTCTTTTACAATTAATTATGACTTCAGTAAATTACAACTTACTAGAGAAAATGTCTCAGGACAAATTGTCTTTCCTAAGTATAATGTATTTTGATAATACCAGTAATAGTAGGCAGAGTTCTCAATTCTTAGGGTCAGTGCAGATATTTCTACCTGTCTTTATATACAGTGCTAGGATTGGTAGATGCTAACACTAACCTTCTGTCCATAGCTGAAGAAGAATGTTGTGAGTGTGGATTTCCACGTCAGCCGCTATGCTCAGATCTGTGAAGAGCTTAGGAAAGAGGTGGGTTGTTCCTCAAACTTCTAAGAATTGATAGAATTGTCCTGTTCACTTTGTTTCATTTTGCATGAACTTTTGTCTGACAAGTTCAGGACACTAGTACATGTATTGCGCTTGGCTTAAAATTTTGTGCTTCATTTTCACAGGTGGCAGAACTGAAAAGTAAGATTAAAGGTTATGAGGACGGCTCTCAGCTCCCCCCACCTCCTGCTGTAGATGATGCACAACAGGGAGAGATCAACAGGTCAGGATGCCACTCACTCATAATATCTGCACTGCTCATCCCATACTACTAGCACTTCCCCACTGAACATAGAGGAAAGGGTTGTGTTGTTTGTGGCTATATTTAACTGGATCTCTACATCCATATATGACTTCCAAGATGCATTTTGCCAATGATTACTATGGAGGTTGGTGTGACCTCATAATGATAAAAAAATTGAATGTATGGGGCAAAAACCTGTTACACTTTCATAGGTCTCATACATTAGTCACCACTGTTTCAAATATTAACTTCTTACTGTTGGGGTGTGTTGGTAGGTTACAAGGCATTCTCAACAGTGTCTTCAAGGAGCGACACATCATCCGTAAGGACCTCCAGGAGCTGGAGATGTCTCACTGTGAGCTCAAGGTCAAGGTCCATCGTAAGGAGCGTGACCAGGACAGGGTGAAGGCCATCAGCAGTGATAATCTCAAGGTGAAGTCATGCAAATTACATTGTCATAAACACCAGTTTACCATAATTTTCCTGTCTGAACCTATGTGCATATTTTAGATACTTTAACCATTCCACATGTTTTTTTTTCTCCTAGAAGGCAAACACTTTTAGGCAGCATGAAAAGTTGTATTGTTCTTCCAAAATGTGATGCATCATGGATTTATACAGACTACAGTGACCTGACTAATCTATGTTGATGTTAATCCAGGCTACTGGCCGGTTGGAGAGAGCAATTGCAGCAGCCAAGACACGTCAGGCCGTGTTTAAAGATCGTCTGGAGACAGCCGAGAAACGCATGAAGGAAAACTGTGAGACTCTGGAGAAGGTGGAGGAGGAGCTGAGAGGACAGGGGACAGATGGGGAGCTGCCAGAGGTGAGGGTATACGGAAAAATAGAGCCTGCCTAGGGCACTGAGGGCAGAAAATGTATACTACCCTGGTAGATTTGAAAGGGCTTTGCAAATTGACTGATCCATCCTATAGTCCTCACCCACCTCCATCATGATGCAAAAATAAAAGCATAAAAATACAAATATTTGACAGACATGGAGCCACTCTGTCATTGGTTAAACTGCTGGGGCTGTCAGGATCTGTCTATTGTAGATTGTGGTCCTATTCTCGGCTTTCACGTGACGTCACGGGGCTTGCGTAATACAGGCGGCCGCCATGTTGGTGTACCTCGGTGTAGTGCTATGCAGTGTCAAGACGTTGGCACCGAAGCCATACAAGTAATTAACAGCCACACGATAATTCTGCAGTCTTTGATGGTTGACAGATGACAAGGTTTTCAATGAAATTGTACATTTTGAGAGGATAGGAAGTCAAAGGATACGATGACAAAGGATATAGGACGACAAAACTTGCGTATGTGTGAACGAACTTCAAAGACTAACGTTACTAGTATCTCCTTCACAGTCCTACAGTGGATCCGTATGTTGGTCACTCTACTAGTCTATTTTTTTTCTCAATAAATGAATTAAGAGAGAGAGAGAGAGGTTCTGGGAAGTGTGTTTTGGACAGTTCTCTGTGCGCGGGTCACCCGTGTGTCTGATTCCTTCTCGCCACAACTTGTGACTCGCTCGCGTAGCGGAATGGTAAACAACAATTTCGAGTGGAGCGGACGGGTTATCCCCCAATCAAATTATGGTAAGCCTAAGTTTCAGCTTTTCTTGGTAATGTAAATCCTTGTTTTACTATCGGTTGCTGTTTCAAAATTATGGGTTCTGTGTGCAATAATGCAAAATGCCAGTTTCAATCTCATGCCCGCCGGCGGCTTTGTTTGTTGTGCACTTTCATCTAGCCCCTTCGGTTTCGCCGCTGACAAACTGGAGTTCATGAATATTTTTTCAAGCACCAAAAAGTACTCATGTCTCTGTTGGAACCCCATTAGAATGAGAATTTCACATGACGGCTTGTCATCCCTGTCAACAGAAATTTTGTTGGCCGCCTCGAGTTTGCGGGAGTAAATCATCGGCGTTGGGAGGGGAGCCTCCGGGCATAATTTTGTTTACGTACCCGTAGTCGTAGTTGTAGTTTTACCGTGAAAAAAAAGTTTTTGGGTAACCTCTCACAACCTATGCATGAATTAGCTTGTGAACATTGACATTACAATATTAGGGTATCATGATAAGCAGAATCTTAACGCAATTTTAGTGCTAAGATCGGTAATTTTGTTGGGCTGTCAGGGTGAACTCGGAGTTTTAGCACTTAGGCTCAGACTGCCACGTGTATCAAAATAAATTCACTTGCACCGTGTAAACTATTGTTTTGTCGATGTTTAATGGAAATTCCTGGGTGCCATTTCTGCATGTACAGGAACATTTCTGACCTCGGTGTAGGGAAGGTCACGTACGCGATATCCAGCAGCATTGTGTGGCGTCGGGCGGCTTTTGGCGTCAGAAGCCCCGCCCGGTCAAGCCGCCAGACCCGACTGTTCCGCGGCCCGCTTGTTGCGATCTCTCGCCCTTTCGGCCCTCGCCCCTCCTTCTGTTCTTTGCTTTCGTCCCAATCTCTGTACTTCTTTCTTCCAAGGTTTTTTTTTAGTAGGGACCCAGGCAACATTGTGTCGGACCCAGGCGGGTGAAGCTTGCCCAGAGTCTTTGGCGATAGTAACTCGCCACAATCTCGGGATATTTCTGTGGCCGTATCCCCGCGGCTGATCGCAAAAATCCACAATCTGCGTTGTTTTTCGGTCAGTTTTTCTTGGTCCTTTCCTTGATTTGTAATCACCTTGGCACACATTGAAAAGATACACTGTTTTTACCACTTTTTTTGACCCGCAACCAGCTACAAAACAATGAACCATGTACATAGCGCATAGGCTACGCGGGGTTGTAGGTACACCAACATGGCGGATAACACCCGTCGCTAAGGTCGGGTCACGTGACTGAAACCCAAGAATAGGCTATAGAACAACAATCAGGTCTGGGTACATGCTTGCATCGTGACCTATACTGACTTCTTCCCTTCCAATCTATAGACTGTCCAGTCCTTCCTACACACAAGGCACCTGGAGGTGGAGGTTAAGGACCTCAGGAAGCAGGTCAAACATCTGAAGAAGTTTGCCAAGTCACAGGAGAAGGATTCGCAGGCGTCAGAGAAGTAAGGCAACATGTTACTTTTTTAAAATTATTTGAATGTATCAAAAAAAGTGTAAGCACTGTTGTAACAGTTGTTTTTTCTGGATTTTTTTTTTATAAATTTGGTGTCATTTGGGACATTCTCAAGGTACTATACAGGGCCACTAGTCTTCAGTAATTAGCCATGTATACCATGCCAAATGCGAATACCCGGTAATCATACTTCAACGTGTCCTTCAGGTTGATGGTGTCCCTGCTGGAGATGGCCCGTAGACAGTACTTCCTGCTGAAGGGCGCGGGAATGGCGACGTCAGACGTGACCTCGGAGTTCGAGGCCGTGCAGAGGATGGTGCAGGGGGAGAAGGAGGTCATGTGGGCAGACCAGAGCATGATGGGAAACCAGACCCAGACGGGGCTGGACCTGACGGAGGTGCTGGACCTGTCAGTCATGAGCGTTGTCTCGGCAACACCTCCAAGTAAGGCCTGGCTACACACCCTAACTTATGATGGTCAACTATGGAATGGAATGGACTATCTAATATCTTAACTGTTTCTATTTTGAAAGAATGAAACAACTTCAATGTAAATAATTGAATGTGTTTTTCTTTCTAGGTGGAAAAACACCTTGCAGAACACCTGTCCAGCCACAGCCCAAAAGAGTCCTGCTGACAGGTAAGGAAAATCTACATACATACATACTACATACAGGATCACATACAGTACATGATGTGCTATTGTATTTTAACAGTATGCCATTTCAACCTGTGCACGGGTACAAAATCACCGCACGTTTTATAGTACAGTAGATATAATTCATAAGCCTTCTTGATGTTACTCTTTCATCCCTTGCAGCTCCCAGCTCTGCTAATGCTACAGAACCCTGTACCCCCAAAGGGACCATCGGTCAACCATCTCCCCTCAGAGTGGCGGCTACCCCTCTCAGAGTCCCAGTCTCTGACAAAAAGACAGTACAGAAACCCCCACACCACAGAGAGTGGTTGCGCCCAGCCCAAGTAAGCCCACCCCCCAGAGAGTGGTAGTACAGTCCACACCAACAGTGCCCACCCCCATGAGAGTCCCCGTGGTTCCGTCCACCACCAACCAAACCACCCCTGCTGTCAGTAATGGGATCACCCAGCAGGGTACAGTTACAAAGACTCTTCCTGGGAGAGTTGCAGCTTCCACCGTAACCAAGGCAACTGTAACCAAGACAACAGCAGCCCCGGTCAGAGTTCATGGGAAACCTGACAGGAAGCCACAGAGCTCCAGGGCACTCTTCACAGAACAGGCACAACCTACCAACAGTCCTGAGGACTACTGTAGAGTTTTACAGACTGATGCTGCTGTCCCTGGCAACCAGCCACACCCTGGTCCCTTAGCGACCAGTTCTATGATGTCAGAAGACTCCCTAAACCAGCCATATAACAAGACAGTGGTGCTGAGCTTGTCACAGACAGTGTCAAGGCCTGAGGACCTGCCTGTTGTCAAGCAGGAGGCTTCAAGAGACGGTGGAACTATGGAACAGATGCAGGAAGGTGGGATGGTTTACATTGTGTTACTAAAATCATCTGCTACTGTACATCATGGAACTTTTGCAGTGTGCAAAAGTGTTTTATTGTGCAATGGCTCATACCACAAAGAAGGCAGATTTATGGTGTCACAGTTCACAGCTGGGAGGTCACTGCAAAAATTAAAACTGCCAGGGAAAAGTTCAATGATTTACAGAATATTACTAGTATTTCTACCTGATCAACAGCCACACTTATTCTAATGCTGCCAACACAACACAACAAGGTTAGACACAGCTATTTCTTGTCAGAACTTACAACAATGCTTTCTACCTCTCCAGGCCAACCTGTGACCAATGCCCAGGCAGTTAGCACTCCAACCAATAACACCCAGCCAGCAGCCAAGAGGGTAAAGCTGGACCAGTCCTATGTCATTGTGGGTGATCCTTCTACTCCAGCTATGGAGACTGAGGAAACACATGCAGGGTAAATGGATAGCTTGTGTTGTACTAGTTTTGCAATTGGGTGTAGTCCCTATGGTCTTTTGATGCGAAAATGAATGAATTTGAAGACAACAGTTTCATCACTCTACAATTGGAACTCTGTAAATGTTTTTCATATGTTTCTTACTTAAATAACTAATAATGTTTTTCTAACAGAGGAGGGGAGAGAAGAATGACCTTCACTAAAGATGACCTACGACCTGAAGGTCAGGAGAACACCACGTCCTGCAGTACATTCCCCACCCCGGGGCACACTGCGTCAGGGAAGCGCAGGTCACTGGGGGACGTCAACGCACCGGTCACTGGGCAACATGTGGAACAGCTGCGGAAGGTCGGACTGCCCTCTATGATGGACAAAGGTAGGGCTATGGCTATCTTATGTTGCTTACCATCACAGTTTTTTTTCTTTTCAGACTTGCAGATCTAGAAATTTGGGTTGTCATATTGGTGGCTTGTTGTTACTGAAATAATAGCTGGTCTCTTTATACATTCACCTGCTAACTTGATGTCAACAAAAACTTGTCTGTCAGAGTTGAAAATACTGCTAAGATTGTTGGTTGATGGATGATTGATTAAACTGCTCAAACCTTTCCAGGTGTATTTCCTCCTACCAATAAGCCATCCTACATGTCCATGACAAGGTCAGCTGCTTTCAAGAGGAAAAAGCACAGAAGGTATTTTTTTATCATAAGGTTCATTGAGTCAGTTGTTCTGCTCATTTTGTACAATATGCAAGACTTAGTCCTTTTTAAGACCTAATTAGTCATATCGTGGATACTTGTGGTTACGGATGAAGGTCAAATTTAGACTGATGGATAAACTGAAATTGTTCACCTCAATCTGTAGCACCATGTTAATTTCTGTCCTTGAACTAACTTCAGTCTTGTTTTGCATGAACGATCAGGTCCATTTCGTCACGAGAAAACTTCACCTCAAAGGAGAGACAGAGTCCTGTTGCCAAGGAGACAACAAAACCACCAGTCGGTGCACGGAGGAAATTTGGCTTCCGCAGATCACTGTGAGTTCAGAACTGCTTTCATTTATGTGTCATGTAAGTTTGGTTGTCAGAGAGACAGAAATATAGTTGAAGATTCTGAGTATTCAATATAACATAAAATACTTCTTTGCTGTTTTCACTACTTCAGTTTTCTTTCTCTCTGTGGTTTATTATAGGTTATCATTTGGCCAAGGTACAAGTTCTTTTGAAATCTAGTCCGAGAATGAAACTGGTTGTTTAGTCAAAGCTCTTTAGTGGTGGCTGAAGGTAGGTTTTAAGTTTGTTCAATCATATCTCAATGAATTTATCTTTGCCCTCAGCGCTCACTCAAGAAGCAAGTCAGCAGGCAACCTCCTCCGTTGGCATGGTAACCAGACATCCTCCAGCCGACTGCCAGTCAGAACACCAACCAAACTGTGACATCATCAGAACATTGACATCATTCACTGACAGAAGATTTAACCTTCCCCCTCCTAGTTAAGTTTGAAGTCTGCTGATGAAAACCTACCCCTGCATGGGCAGGGTTAACTTACAACAAGAACTTGTAAAAATTGTATATTTCTTGATTTTGAGTTTGAAGACATTCATAAATCATGTCATACAGAAACTATGTTGTCACTACGTAGTTGTCAAAAGATATTGTGATAAATTGGTGTCCATACAGTTGCAGGAATTTCATTACTTTATAAATCTTGATGCTTTTATGTTCACTAAACTATGCAAAATCAAGTGATTACTAGTACTTACAGTATCTTGTTTCCTATGTGTAAATATTATGGCCTATTTCATTTTATGAAGACATCGCTGACAGTGAAGTTTTACCATACTTATGCCAGGTACATTTTTCTTTACCTACTCATCTGTACATGCTGCTGTAGGCATCTGTAAAATAGGATTCTTGTCTTCAAATACAGTAGATCCATGGAATCAAGTGAGTACCTGCACATTTTTAAAAGCAGTGTTTGCAGATATATCTGTAGATATGGCACTACAATGTACATTATCAGGAACACTTTGTAAATGATCTCTTTGATATTTCCAACAATGGATCTCGGTAACCTGTTGGAGATATTCACTTCAGCAAGCTTGTTTCATTCCATCTTTAGTTATTGTACAGAGAACTAGCTAGATGTTTTATTTTTATCTCAGCAAGATTGATTTAGAAGTCAAATATCTCAAAGGCAGCTGTTAATGTGATGCAAACTGTGCAGCACTGAATACTTCCCAATCTTTATTTTGTTGAAGCTGCAGATTCCATGTCTGTTCAACATGGTGCTTTTAGAAATAAAGTTTCTTTTACTCCTTCATGTTAATTGTTATTTGATACCTTTCAAACCCTAGCATGCGATAAAATGAAAATCATATTTTGCCATAGAGTATCTACATACTTATACATGTACAGGTACTTCTACAGATGTTCATACAGGTGTGACATTACAGATAAAACTGGATTGTATGAAGTTCTAGTCATGTAGCTCCTAATACGAAAAAGCACTTTGTACTTTTTTGAGTCACACCGATCCACCCTGGCTTGGGTGCAATGAAGTCTGTACAGTGAAGTCTGACAATACCTGATGTACAAAATCAATGGTCTCCAAACCGCACGGAATCACAAAATCATGCCACAGCCCACCCCTCATTAAGTAAAGGAGCACACTGATACTGTTGTGAATTCTGTAACATACCGGTATCTTCTCGTATACTAGAGAAAACAAAAAATTAAACTTTTCTTCATACTCTGTCCTCACACATACCTTTAGCACATGCCATTTCCTATGGATATTTAGTTCCCCAATATAAGTATACACAAAAGTACAATACATCTATCTCATTATCCATCTCCCCACAGACATAGCCATACATTCATGTCAGTAAGTCATGATGAGAAATAGCTCTGATTTAAATTAGTAGCCACTTTTCTTATCTGTTTATTATAGAAGTGTTGGTGTGGAAGTGACATTACATACAGTGTACTGTCTATCTTAAAAATGCTGTATTATATTCATCAATGTTCTAATGTACATCAGTTTCCATCATCTGTCAGCTGCTGCCATGCCGTCATCACGTTGACTGAAGCAGATCTTTAGTAGCTGTTGGCAGTATTCCAGCTCCTCCTAGAGACGGAAGGGACAACATCAGTTCATGATTGTCTAAAATCAGTATTAGGCTAATAATACTAGTAACATGCAATTCTGACATCCCAGTCATCACCTCAACTCTAGAGGATACAGGTAGATATATCCTCCTTGTCCAACTTCTACAAGTAAAAACACACACACATAAGATACATACTCTCCACCCAGAGTCATAGGCTTTGGCTTGCATTTTAGGCATTTTCATGACTGGGCTTTCCTTTTTGTACTGGTATCTTTTTATGCTGTCAGCCAAACATACTGGTGGCAAAAGGGCTACTACCCTGCCAACTTGATACTGTCTTGCAGCCACCAAAAGATCTGCTTGGAGATTAAAAGAAATGCATTACTGGGTAACAGTCCCACCTGAAACTCCTCCCTCCCCTTCAGGTGTTCTATCCTATCTGTCAGCACCTGTCGCAGGCGCAGCTGTGGCTGCCGGCAGTCCTTCATGGCTTGTTTGTTTTCTGTCACCAGGGCAACAAGTGCACCCATCAGGTGCTCATGGAAGGCATTGTGCTCCGTCTGCAGCATGGAGGCCAGCTGAGTCACCATGCCCATGTTACACAGGGTATCTGGGGACAAGCAGTCAAGGTACAGCTTAATGACAAACTAGATCTTCAGTAAAATGTAGATTACATTTTACCTCTTTTCTGAGTTTTCGTGTCCTTCAAGTTCACCTTATTTCCTGTGTCTGACCTTTTGAATTGTCATTCTGGCTGTCAATCTTCCCCCACCCATGTTCTGTCAACTTAATCTGTCCAGATACACAAACCTAAAGTTCTGGTCTTCAGATACCCATAACAATATTTCTGTACCAAGGAGTAATAAGACAAGTTCTATGTAGATAGGTATCTCAAATGGAGTCAAGGAATGGATACAGGAATGCCATACTTGATTACCACACTGTAGTTTATCCTACCACAGTACGAAGGAAAGAAGTTAATGACTGTAAGGACAGGTAGCTAACCTTTGTGTTGTGGGTTGCTAAGGCACAGATTCCTCAGTAGGAAGGCTGCCTTGACCTTGAGTTTCTCCGTGTCACTCTGCATGGCTCTCATCAGGACAGAGAAGCCATCCTGCTCAACAAACGACTGCTGGGCCTCCTCACAGTTGCCTGTCAGACCTTTGATAATAGTACAAATGTATTACTGTGTTAGGTTTGCTATAAACCAATCATGACTGTCCATCACAATTAGCAGTTCAAACAATGAAAGCATGGCAATTAGCTTGACCAACGAATGAGAGATTGGCTTCATGTCTGTTGAATATCTACATGTTTTAGGTTTTATTTTTCATTTCTACCTATTTGCAAGTCTATGTGATCTGTCTATTCTGTGGCCTGGTTACCATTAATAACATAAGTAATACCATTCGCTTGGCTTAGAACAAATGCTTTTTGGACCTTCATTTCACTTGTATTACAACATTGCGGATTTACTTTACAAGCTCCATCATCTCCTCTCCAGAATTTTTCTCAAGTTAACGTTTGTTTCAACGTTCTCCCAGCTCCCTAACCCCATAACCAACTGAGAATTGGTCACCAATGCCTACTTCAGTGTGCTAGAGTTGAAAATTTCCTGTAGTGCTACAATGGACTATCTCAGGAGTCAGGACATTAACCTTACATGATATTGCATAGAGGGCCTTCACTCTGACGGTAGGGTCACAATCTGTGTCCACCAGTTCTAGCAAGGTCGGCATGGCAACCAGCTCCAGGGCTGCGGCCTGACAGAAGGGGTTGTTCTGTGTTACCGTGGCGATGACATCACCTGCTCTCCACCGCAGCCCACTGTTCTGGTGTCTCAGGTAGCCGATAACCAGCACCAGGCCACCCATCTTGTGTAGGTCTGGAAAAAACAAACACATATTCACATCAAACAGCTAATACTACTAGTATCATACAGATGGCTGCTACATTTTAATTGAGTCAAAATTTTAATTTGATCATGTAAATTAGTAATCAACAAACTGACAACTGGACATAGATGAGCTTGTACATTTTACATTATATACATACTACAGTCAAACGTGCACTAGTGACCACCCCAGCACAAGGACCACCTGTGACTCCCTTATGTTATTTAAAACATAAAGAAAAGATATGTCATAATAATTATGATCATATCTCATTCCCAAGCCAACTGTAACATACTTTGTGCATTATCAATGCTACAGCAGAGGTCCATCAGCTCCTCCATGGCTGTCTCCTTCTCCTCTGTGTGGTCCTCTCCCCCCTCCGCTAACATCTGCAGACATGTCTTCATCTGCTCCACATCATCCTGCGCTGTCTGGGAAAACTGCTGCAGGGCTGCTCCCAGCCACTGTCTTCTCTGGGGGAGGAATAAAAACATTTACACGCATTATATACACTTTTACAGAATGTCAGTAATGTGAAATCATTTGTATCTTCTTCTCCTTTGTTACCCTCTAAAAACTCCGATGTGGACAGGTATTAGCACTGAGGGGGTGGCCTGTAGGGTGACTGACAGTCCAGCCCTGAAGACCTTTACTGTCGGCTCCTGTACAATATTGTCTGGCGGTAGATTTCACTCTCCACTTGTTCATGGAAAGAAAGAATTGCATCCTTTGGTCGGTCTTTGGGCAGGTTTAAGGTACATGTATCATGATGACACCTTGTGATATTTTGTACAATGTACTAGTATTCAGACAGACACTTCTCTCCCCTATCTGAAATTTGAGACTACTGATCTGTTGACAGTCATATGCACCTGACTCCCTCTGCACTGGATATCTGACCTTCAACATCAGTGCACAACACCTATCCCCTGTGTCAATAGACATGTGTCCTTTATTTGCTCACCTGTTCATCCATGGGTCCAGGTGACACAGGTGTGTCACTTGCATTGTCAGGTGTGTTTTCTATGGCATATCTCAGCACACCCTCCAGGTTAGGGTTACGGGGCACGTTACGGTCGTCTGAACCCCCTGGTCCTGCGTCTCCTCCATCTGCCATTTTAACAGTCTGTATACAAGATCGGACCTGTTAAAAGGTACAATGTTATGTTGAGTTCAACCTTTGGAAATGCAAAGTTATATAGATGATAATGTTCCCAGGAATAATACACGTGTATTCGTATCATTATCATAACATACAAATCAGGGCAAACACATGCTTCAATACAGAATACAAACAACAGAGATTTTACCCTTTGGGGAATGACTATTGACAGGATCATTCTGTCTTGCATCTTTTTATGGTGTTGACAGGATGATCCTGTCAATAGTGCAAATTTTTCCACACATCACAGGACAGTCTCAGCCTTACCTTAGACTAGCCTGAAGTCCAGCCTTGTTAGTTTTGCTCTGCTCCCCAAGGTCCGCTACCCCGACAACAAACCTTGTTACTATTGTTAGCAGACGAGTCTACGGATAAGTGTAACGTTAACTACAACTTGTAAGATATATTAACACGATCAGACGTCTGACCAAATCTCCTAACTCCTGGGACAGGCCGAGTAGGATTGATATATCATCAAAGATCGCTATATAAACAAACAGGGACCTTACACGTGCCTATGAGTGAGTAATATCTAATCTGAAAACTCACAATTCTGGAACTTTCTGGAAAGTGGAGAACTCTCAGCTCTGGTGTCCGGACGCGGTCCCACGCCGCCGAAAGGTTAGAGGTCAATACCGGCTGCCGTAAGACGCTTCAACTAGTGTCGTAAAATCACCATGACTAAGGGTTGATGAGCTGGGTCCCGTAAGATGTGATGTAGCTTTTTATACATCATGATAGAGCATTTCCACAGTCTATATAGTATTTAAAGACTTCTTGTACATTTTTCTATTTAATAACTCCGTGTTTTTGCAATTTTCAGACCACTCTCTTCTTCCTGTTTCCCCCTAAAACTTTGTAACGTAAAACGTCTACCTATCGTAAAACAAGAGATAGCAAAGAAAAGCAAAGTATGTTGAAAATCTATCAACGTATCAAGATTAGATTTAATGCATTTATAGTATTTTTACATACAACTACAAACAAACATTATATTTATCTACTAGATCATCTAATTTAAATCATTCGTGGCATTTCATATCTTTCATTTGTGTTTGCGTGTGCATGCGTTCCGTTCTCACAAATCTCAAGTCATCAAAATGGAGGAGATTGGAGTAGTTGTGAACAAAGAAGAAACGCAGATCCCCAGCCCCGAGTCCAGGCCGGGGACGGGTCTGTCCAGCACCGTCAGTGAGAAGGACACGTCAGAGGACCTGTACACAAGGTAGGAACCGTCTGGAGAGGGACAGTGGACAAGGACTCGGGTACATTCTGTATGTGGTGCATGATGATGGGGAGGGGGGCATGCACTGAAGTAAAAAATTAGATACTCATAGTGTCTATTGACAGGACCATCCTGTCAATAAGAGAAAATTAGCACTATTGACAGGTCCATCCTTGTCTTGGCCATGGCAAGTATCTAGACAGTATCAATTTTTTGGTCTGATACGACATCAACTACTTGTATAATGTATATTACTCCAATTCTGCTCCCTCATGCTCAATTTTTTCTGGAAAGTACCTGATGAGACCCACCTATTTGCTTCAGGTACAAGAAGCTGCAGCGTCAGCTGGAGTTCCTTGAGGTCCAGGAGGAGTACATCAAGGATGAACAGCGCAACTTGAAGAAGGAGTACCTCCATGCCCAGGAGGAGGTCAAACGTATCCAGAGTGTTCCACTTGTCATAGGTAAGACACACTCTGTGTAGTCCAGTACAGTCAAGAAGTCATTGGAAGACTAGTTGTTTGTTTGCGCTCTCATTCTCAAGGAGGGGAACTGAAGCTGGGATGAAAGTAAAAGTGATCTCAAACCAGTTTAGCTTATGGAAGAGTTATGTAAGAGTAAGTCAAGTACTCTTCCATTGATCATGACAGAGAAGACAGATACTATGTAGAGTATTTACAGGTTCACTATGCCAGGGAAATTTCCCTAGCTCTTTTTTACATGTACAACGGACATGTTTGTATGAACAATGAATGACCACGGCTTAATGGTAGGTGAGCAACAACAGCCATGATTCTTGGTTTCAGAGGCAGATTCACTAACCACTGGATTACCCACGTTACTCTAGTCATGTACTGTACTGTAGTCAGATACTAGATAGAAAGTTTTGATCATAACAGTTCATCTTCTGAAGTTCACAGATGGCATTTCCCTGACACCTTTATTTGTCACCCCTCCTCAGGTCAGTTCCTGGAGGCTGTTGACCAGAACACAGGGATTGTGGGATCCACCACGGGATCCAACTACTACGTGCGGATCCTGAGTACGATAGACCGCGAGCTGCTGAAACCCAGTTCGTCGGTGGCTCTCCACAAGCACAGTAATGCCCTGGTGGATGTGCTGCCCCCCGAGGCAGACTCCAGTATCACCATGCTGTCTGCTGAGGAGAAACCTGATGTAGCCTACTCAGGTCAGGAGCAAAACACAGTTCAACATACTGGTTGCATAGGGAATTTTGTGCATTGGGCCCTTAGCTCTTTGTATAGGTTATGTGGAAGACTTTTGTCGACAAGCATAGTACATCTACAGTTCGAAGGGCGACATACAAAACTGTACTATAAGAATGTAGTATACAGAATATTTTTGATATCTAAGTGTAATAAAAAATTATAGATTCTCTGTTGTATTACCTGATAAAGATTTTGAAGTTAGCTACATGTATAATAGACCTTTAGGTTCTAAAGAGAGGCAGCAGGGTCTTCAATTGGGTTTTGCTGACATTCTTGAAATTTCAACTTATCTTTTATGGTGCATCCCAACTGGTGCAACTAACTTTTTAGTTTATTTGCACCAGCACACATATTCCCCCAAATGAATTTGGAGCCCTGACAATGGATTCTCCCTGCCACAGATATTGGTGGGATGGACATGCAGAAGCAGGAGATCCGTGAGGCAGTGGAACTGCCACTCACGCACTTCGACCTCTACCAGCAGATCGGCATCGACCCACCACGGGGGGTCCTGATGTACGGGCCGCCTGGGTGTGGGAAAACCATGCTGGCCAAGGCTGTGGCTCATCACACCACTGCTTCTTTCATCAGGTGAGTGGCACCTGGGAGTTTTATTACCTCCTTGTATGGAGGTTTTGTGAGGAGTGGAATGGTGTAACTGCAGAGGGAAGTGAGAGGTACATGATGTAATAGAGATCAGAGGTGGTAGAATCAGTCAATTTATCATCTTTGGCTGCTGACAAACATTCAAGGTCATGAGGTCAATGGAAGAGGCCACTGATTCATGATTAGATATTGTTTTGGGTTTTCTGTGTTTTTCCACATGCTACTTCTACTAGTACATGTACTAGTCTTTTTTACTGTAGAGTAACAGAATGTCAATGAACACATTTAATGGTAGTCAAAACATCACTTCAATGATTAGTGAACTATAATGAAGCAAGCCATATGAGAAACTCTAAATATTTTGTGAGTTCTTTGAGCTCTTGTTATGTTGTTAACATATAACAGTTGTTTCACAGATCTGAACTGTTATGTTACAGGGTTGTCGGTTCTGAATTTGTACAAAAGTACCTTGGAGAAGGCCCCAGAATGGTACGAGATGTCTTCCGGTTAGCCAAGGAGAACGCACCTGCCATCATCTTCATTGACGAGATTGATGCTATAGCAACCAAGAGATTTGATGCACAGACAGGAGGTATGCTTATCAATAGCAGAGCAGTTTGCAGTAGTTTGAATAATATTTGGAGTACTTTGGTAACAAACATATATTTTATTCTGAATTAGCAGAGGATTTTCCATGCTCAATGTACTTAACTTGTCATTGCCTCTGTGTATGAAGTTTTTTCAGTGTTTTTGTCTGTTTCCTTGTGTGTCCATAGTTATTTGGATACAGAAGATGGTGTGACCATAGGCTGACAGGAAGGTCAAAATGTGTGGTGAGGTAGGCTTGGAGAATGGTACCAAGGTTACCTCATATCCTGTCTTCAGCTTCCTGATATATTCATGTCTGTTGCACTGAGGAAGCCAATGGGAAAATGCATACACAACATCAATGAGAAACTTAATTTCTTGTTGACGCTCGTCATATTTCTTTCTTGTCAGCTGATCGTGAGGTCCAGCGAATCCTGCTGGAGCTGCTGAACCAGATGGACGGATTTGACCAGACGGTCAACGTCAAAGTCATCATGGCCACCAACCGAGCAGACACGCTGGACCCTGCCCTGCTGCGGCCGGGTCGTCTGGACAGGAAGATCGAGTTCCCATGCCTGACAGGAGACAGAAACGACTCATCTTCCAGGTCAGGCTGCGGGCATCATTGTTTATTGTTTTATTGTTTGTTTATTTCACCAGGGAAAACATTTCAGCAGCCTACTGGACTTTTTTATATGTGTCCTGCAGGGAAACCCCAGACATAAGCTCCCAACATAAAATGGAATCAATGATACAAGAAATAACAAAAGTTTATGCAAAGTACAAGTTGGTACAATACCAAATCAAGGTAACTTGGAAATGGTATTTCCTTAAACATAAAGTCGTGTCATCTGTTTGGCTTTGGAATTTGGATAAGACGACTTTCAAGTCCTGTTTAAAAAGGAAATTTCTATGTTTTTTACATGTGAAATAAAGACTAGTGATTTTCAATGGGTATGTTGGACCTTTCAACTTTTGTTTCAGTTTGGAAAATGTACTAATTTGTGTTGTTTCTGCAGACCATCACCAGTAAGATGAACATGTCTGAGGAAGTGGACCTGGAGGACTACGTGGCCAGACCTGACAGGATCAGTGGGGCTGACATTAACTCCATCGTGCAGGAAGCAGGTGAACTGCAGCTATCATGCTGTCCTCCCTTACAATCTCATAATACTTCTTTCCCATACAATTGGAGAAGATAGGAAAAAAAGCCACTTTCAAGTATCATACTATTTACCGGTAGCAGAAATTACTTGACAGGCAGTGTAATTCGAGAAACTTCAAATTCAGTTATTAGAATAAGGTGCGTACCACTATTAAACAAAATGTACAAAACAAAAAGTGAGAGAAACAAAAATTATTGCTCAGGAAAAAGTCCACAGCAACCATGCCTTATTCCCATATCCACACAGGAATGCTGGCAGTGCGAGAGAACCGCTACATCGTGCTGGCCAAGGACTTTGAGAAGGCGTACAAGACAGCGATCAAGAAGGACGAGACAGAACACGAGTTCTACAAGTAGTGTGTGGCACAGACCCCTCCCCTTGTGTTGTGCCTTCCAGTGCTGATGCTTCCCCCCCCCACTATCCTCCGTGGACATGCTGTAAAACTGTCAAATGAAAATATAAAAAGACTAACACACAGGAAACCAATACTACCTAACACATGTTGTCTCTGAGGTTTGTCCACTTTGTCTTTCTGTTGACATCAGTCCCTCTCCCCATAAAAACAATACTGTAACCAAAAGTAAATACTGTACTGTAGTCTGTACAGATTTCAGAGTTTGATACATTCTGGAAACATCACAAGGAGGGGCTAACTCTGTCAGCTATATCAGTTCTTGTACTAGAAGGTCCTCACTAAGCTATAGATATTGATACGATGTACTTCATATTGAATAAATGCATACAACAAAGAACAGGAACCTTTCTGGAATTATACTTTTGTGAGTTTTGATGAGTTACTAGTATGCTAATTATTAAGTTTGGAGTCAGAATTTTGATAGAAAATTGGCTTGGGTAGGTTAGACAAGTATAGCCAGCACTAAGTTTCTTCCTGCACCATGTAGAAAATAGGTTTGGCATGTTTTGGTCACACCTACTCTTCTTGATAAGTGTGTTGGGTTCTTTAACAAGGTTTGGTGGCCAAAGCTCCTCCATAGATGGGGCCACCAGCTTTACGTCCTCATCCAAAAGGACGATGGGACTCTTTTCCAGACCTTGATGCGAATCCCGGCCCCCAGATGTGGCCAGTAGCAAAGTGCACAGACCACTACAAACCACACACCAGTAACTTATCCTTGTTATCCTATGTTTCAAATGTGGATTCTGTAGCTTAGAAAAGATCTAGAGACCTAGGCATGGTTTTTAGCTCCTTACATTTTCAGTTGTCATATTGCATACTGTGGACCTCCCAGTGATCATTATGTAAGTCCTTGGCCCCACCACGTCCTCAACAGCATGTGTTTGTATAACAGTCTGATTATGCGCCCCTCCTGGTGTTATTTCATTCCCTCATGGAAAAATGAATAATTCACAATCAGCTGCGTATCTAGAGGACACTTATACTATTAAAGCACAAAACACACCATCATACTTCCATTGTTTATTGCATTGACATTATGTCCAAAATTGATTTCCTACAGGCTGACATCTGCACTCTTATTGGCTCTACTGATTTGACATTTCAAGATGTATTTATTAATGAAACTAACAGATTTAACCCTCAGGAATAGCTGAGACAGTCATATTTTACATGACTACAAATCAAAATAAATAAGATGCTTGTAAATAAAACGTTTAGAAATATTTCAAACAAAAATGTTAAACGTGTTGCCGTGACAACTCAAATAAATAAGGCACATGTAAAACAATAAGGATGGCACAAAAAACATGCAATAGAAGAATCTGACAAGTCAACTCTTCGTCGTCCTAGAAATAAATTAATGTCATCAAAAACATGACTTCTGATTGGACACGATGAATCCGTCAATCAATAACTGCAGACATAGCCACGCTCTGGAGTAATCCCATCATGGTGCAACGGTCGGTACCGAGTGTTCAAGTTCGGTTTGGGGTTTTTCTGTCCATCATCTAGGACTGTCCCGGCTGGAGCTCGGCCAGGGAGTCGCTCATGAGGGTGTAGAGGATCATGCCGCTCGCCTCCGCCACCAGCCGCCGGATCATCCGCTCCACCTCCGTCTCCTCCTGCCGGGCTGCTTCTCTCTCCCGGTCCCCGGATAACAACACCTCCACCATCCGCTTCGTCCTGCCGTGGGGATTCGCTCCACCCTGCTCCCTCTCTGCCTCTGACTGGATCCTGTCCTCATCACTTCCTGACCTCAACCTGGTATTAAGACAGAGAAGTGCATTTAAGTATAAAAATGACACCTGGTGTTGAAGAAAGAAAAACAAGAAATGGGAGATTTCAGACGTCCGGGAAGTATGCAGTTCTCGGTTTCCTGACTTCCCCCACGTCCACGCTCTCAATGTCCCATCTTACTTGCTTGAATGCTTTAAACCTACTCTGACCGGACAGATACCCAGACCCACAGTTCAACCACCCAGAACATACTCCCGTACCCGGATAACTCGAGATAACTCATTAGAAAGATACCATTTTTTTCAACATAGAATTATGTAGATAAAACACACTACTAGCTACATTGTGAAATAAAGCTGCTTTCTTGGACAGTTCTTAGATAGTTCATTGACATCTTCTGACATACGGTCAGGCACAAGGCTACTGACCCTTCATACATGCCGACAACTTCAGCGGTCTCTTCATCTGCAGTCGGCAGTGTGTGGTGTTTGCGTCGGTGGGCTGATCTCTTGGTCTGCAGGAAGTTGTCCAGGGCGGCCAGAAGGTCGACTCCTCCCCGGCGGCCCTGCCCCTCGATGCCGCCGGTAGCCGAGTCCGTGCTGGTGGCCTGGAGGAGGTTCTGCAGCGCGTCGGTGTCCGCCCGGGCCAGGGCCTGCAGCAGGTCGGCCACGAGTTTGGAGTAGAGCCGCTCCGGGATGGCCGTCTGGAGCATCTCCAGCTGGGACACGAACCCGTTCCACGCCTGGAGCCTGGAGACGACAGAATATAGATTTTACTCTGGGCTTAGCCGCCAAAAAAAAACTATGAAATATTAAACTAAAATCATACTAGTATGCGCACGTAAAAGAACCCAGTACACTTATCGAGAAAAAAATATAGCTACGTGTAACAAAGGTGCAGGCAAGAACTCGAGGTTCCTATCATGTCTGTCAACATGTGTTTTGCCCCAAGTCACACTAGCGTTGGTGCTTCGTGTAAGGGGTGGCCTTAGAGTCAACAATATCACTTAAGGGTTCTTCTGATCCTGGACCGGTGGTGTGCCAAGAATTTGGGACTGGGTGCAGAGATCCGGGTTAGCCGTGCATTAGTCACGAGCCGTTTTGTCATTGCTTTTGGTGAATTACTTTCAAATGTACGATCAAGTGATCTTGCGATTTTAACGAATTTGCAAGATATATACAACGAGCGAAAACAATACCTTTTCTTCTCTCTGGCATTTGAACACATAGAATAATATAATGTACACGCGGAGATCTAGAAACGATTAATTTTCATACTTTCATGGCAGCAACAGTCGATTTCAAGATGCTGAAAGCCATTGGATTGTTACGTCACCACTTTGTGATATTGCAACATCCTTGAAATGTATTACGTCACTTGTTTTTGTAATGTGTTTATGTAACGTATCTAGGATCATCCTATTACACCACAGTGAGCAAATATCTTCTGTACTTAATTGCACCACATCATATGTTTTATCTCCGGAAAACAACTCTAATTTGCACACTACAACAAGTACGTTTTATAACAGAAATGTGAATACTTCTTCCGTGGAACTTCCTAGAAGCCTGGGAGTATTCACTCATATGTATTCACAAGTCCTTTATAAAAATCAAGCGACACATTAGATCTAGAATTGTACCGATTGTCGAGAGTTCTTTAGAGCGGTCAGACTAGTCCATGAGGTAGAAAATCGCCGCAGAACATGCTGTAACTAAGTAAGTGTTGCTAAACGAATATGAGAGAACTCTAATGACGTCAAAGTTTTGTATTAATAACTATTGCGAAAAATGTCAAGAGCAGACTGGTTTGGGCGTCACCGGGCCATGACTTGTTTATTTTCCGGTGTTTGGTGTTGCTGCTCTTGAGGTGACGGATTATATTGGGTGGAGAGTTCTCAGTGATGCCTGGAGTGTTTCAACAAGCTGGTGACGACGGCAGGGGTAATGGCGCGGGAACTGCCCACGTGCAGCCGGCACCGTGGCCTTTATTTCCCTCCTCACGTGTGTGGTAGTCACCAAGGATGCGGTTTCCTGAAGTGGTCTAGACTTTTGTAAAAACTTGATCTGCCGTATGGATGGCAGACGTCATCAAAGTATCCGGGACACGTCACACATGATGTAACCGAGAAAGGAACGGTTTTACATCATCTAACGACTTTTGTAACGGGTTGTGTAAAAATATTAAAGAAAAAAACAGGCCAATCCATATTTACGGTAACGTTTTATTTTTACCTTCATTGGTTATGAGTTAGGCATCAGAGAGAATGCCAATAAAGCTCGCACATTTAAAACCGTTGAGCAAAGTGACGTGCCCGTTTTATCACGTGCACGTACCTGGCAGGACAAGAGGCGATCAGCCGGCTTTTTTCCGTCTATAGGGTTAGCCTTTCATCGTTTTCCTTGTAATCACTTTTATAGAGTCCTTTTTGTCTTTATTTTCCCAATTTTCTGACGAATGTATGGCGCTCATCTGTGCACACCGTACCGTTTTTTTATCGTCCCAGACATGGTCAGTCAAACGACAACTGGCCTCTGCTCAAGTTGCATGACCGCATGCTAGTAGGTAAGCGTCGTACCGCGTATACAAACTCAGCGCTTTTGTAAAAGTCGCGTTGTTACAAGTTGTGTATTGATGTTCTTGTACCGTGACGCACTCGGCAAACAAGAGCAAGCTTTTTTTGACTGGGGAACACGGTGGTCGTGTTCTTAGAAATGCGTCTATGAGGAAATTACGCACATGCTGAATTCAAAGAAAGACAAAAAAGAAAGCACTGTTCCGTTCTTTTTTTAAAACTGTGTCAGTCAGTTTTCCATACATGAATACGATTTGAAAAGGAACTCTTTGTATTCTTTCTAAATATAGACTTGCCGCTGGGCTCGCCACGACACGATTCCGACCGTCGTGCAGGAAGAGTCACGATTATGATTAACGGCGAGGTCACATTCATCATAGACCGTTGTACGACTTATGATGCCGCGGAATTTTCAAGCAGGCTGTGACAGAACCAACCACTGACCGGGATCTAAGACAGAATTTTTCCCAGCAAGACAACTGAATTTGGCACGACTGTCCGTAGAATGCCCTCAGTGGTCGCATGGCGCAATTGGCTAGATCTAATCTACCGTGATGATGAAGATACTAGTAATGTGTAGTCGTGTGCAGAAGAGCACCGCTTCCGTAATTGTGCTTCCCATTATGATGCGCGCTAGATGAGGATAGACTTATTTACACAGGATTCACTTACTTTTGCGAAAGGAGTAGGTCTAAGCTAAGGTCCCAATGACTTTTATATCGACTTTCTGATGACAAGAAAAGACTGGAAGTGTGTCTTACCTGGACATCGCGGCGCCGACGTCCCCAGTGTTCACAGGTTTAGTAAGTACAACATTGGCGAGGCTGGCAAGGACAGCTACACTCAGCACACAACTCGTCATGGTCTTCATTTTCTCCTCTTTTCGTTTGCTGAAAAACAGAGACATAAAATATTGGTGATGGCAGGTCCTAACGTTTTGGTGGATCAGCGCGGAGCAAAATACCACATGTACATGTACGGTACTACCGTCCTTAAATCATACAAAAATGAAAAGAAATCAAAATTACATGTATATAGAGATATGAAAGAATTTTTTTCGCATGGTTTAACACAGGTTTAATACTCCAACTTATCTTAACACATTCTAGAAGTAATTTACTAGTAGTGACACTTTTCACAGACGGGATACTTACCAGCAAGGTACGTTGTCTCCGACGTTCTGTTGCTCTCGGAACTCAGATCTGAACTTGTCCGACGTGCGGCCGTTATTTATAGGCAGGTTGTGTTGACAAAACTGATAACTGTTGCTATACAATATCAACTCACAATCGTGTGTGGCTAAAAGCGGCTCCAATGAATTTACCGGAAATATCTGAATGGGGCGGAGCCTTGTTTAATCTCTCCGTAATCCATCATCAAACTAGCCAGCCCGTCGTCATGGCAACCGTAACGTCAACGGAAGAAAACACCGGGCCACGTCAAAGACGACAATCGATATAACTTGGCGCACAATGAGTCAAGAAATAACACTGGGTCTGGTTGCGTCATGTGGTGCTAAAAGTTTGGCTAATCTGTGTGAGGTGTGTTTTTGACTGATATTGTCAGTCACGAGGGATGTATCCTTGGACTTACCATCAACACAAACTCAACAATACCTGTTTGTGTGGACCGAGGAGAGCACGCTTTCTTACCTGCCGAGCCCGTAGTTTTTCACGTGTAGGAACTTATCTTGATCACCCCTTCCCCCGGGAGGTACCAAAGATAACGGCCGGACATCGAGACTTATCATATATAGTATATATATAGGGTGGAATCAACTAACAGTACAAGTAAGCAATGAAATTACATCTGTGGTAACTCTTAACATAACACTTTGTCACCTGTCGATCTGCTGTTGCTGAATTAAAAAATGATTGATAACAAAAACGCTTCCTCGGCCTCCAATTTTACGTCATATTGCCACGTGGTTCTTTTTACCTTTAGTTGTATCATCACGTTTACGTCACGTAATTACGTCACAACATTCTCCGAATTCTTGGACAAACTTACCATTTTAAATTTACAATATACTGTGTCTCGGTGGGAGGTTGTTATATTCCCACCACCATTTCACTAGAAAAACATTTTTGCATTATCGCATTATGATTACATATAACCAGGACATCTGTTGGAGAGGTGACGCTAGCCGGAACACGTGACGTGTATTACCATGTCAGAGCGTGCTGATCAGTGCGCGGTGTGAGAACACTGAAAACTGTCAAACCACGGCAAATATCGGACGGAATAACACAAAGTATGACAACACTTCGACTTCTCAGCAAGCTTTACGAGTTAGGCCTTTGGGGGAATAATGTGTCCTTTTTCTGATGCCATATCAGTTTTCGACACTTGGTTAATTTCTTGTGCGGCCGCATTCGTGGATTTTGAGAGGCTGGGTACGCAGGAAAATATATAAGATATAAGATCTGGATATTCAGAAGTTAGTACCATAACGTATATGTACAACTGATGTGTATACATAGATTCAGATAAAGCCAATACGTGTTTATGTGGGCGATAGCTAGAGGTCACTGCAAACAATACCCAACACCACTCTGTATTTCTGCCAACAGATTTGACAGGTGTCGTGCATTTGTCTGGAAAGTTTCAATACAAATATCATGTCAACATTAAGGTCTGATGACTTCCTGTTTTGAAAGCAGGACATGACAGAAGTGTCCGAGAAATAACCACCGTCAGCAAGGAAAACAGGACGGAAAAAAACAAAGAAAAATGTTGTTACAAGAACTCTTTTCTGAGTCATCATGGTCCATCCGGTACGTTAATCCAGAATGCGTCGGCGTTGTTGGAAGGATTCTAAGAACGTTTTGTCGACTTTGTAGTTTTGGGTTCCCTTGTATGGTACATGTATTATATGGCAATACACTCGTGTTCCATCTGTTATAGATACCAGCTATTTTTGCAGAAAATTACTTTCCTACTAGTCCTTTAATGCTTCCGTGATCTTCAGTACAATATCGAAAACTTGAACGAGCTAGCACCAGAACAAAACATCTTAACTTGCGCATGTACGAGCATGATGGGATGTTTTGCAAATGGGCACACATGCCGGTGTTTTATGTATCCTGTATTTATGGCTTCACCACACCACGAAGAGGTGTGGTGAAACCATATTGCTTTTTCTGATGTTTCTCCTCCTTCTTCTTCTTCTTCTTCTCCTCCTGCCATATCTTTAAATGGATTCAGCTTCTTCATTTTGGGGCCTAAGGATCTGAAATTTGGTATGGAGGTACAGTGGGCAAATACCCTTAGGCGTTTTTTAAATTTTTGTGATACAGGCTTTTAGAATGGTTTTATTTGAGTTTTTTGGCTGTATTATAGCAAATGTATTACTGTGTCAGTGGGCAGTGTTAACCACATTTGGCATGAGTCATCACAATGGAATGCAGGGCATCAACCAATAGGCATGCAGCTTTCCTCTCTTCTTCTTGCTGATTGGCTGTTGGGATTTAACTTGATTAACACCTGCACAGACCATTTCCACCTGCACAGAGCATTTCTTGCTGATTGGCTGTTGGGATTTAACTTGATTAACACCTGCACAGACCATTTCCATACTGACAGTATGTCTGTATTCAAGTGTTTTGGTAGGTATTTCAAGCTTTCCTGCTCCAGCATTGGAATGCGGGGCATGAACGTTTTTTTTTTTGAAAATCAACAGTTTGCATTATGCAATTAAAAATCCTAACCAATAATGTAGGGAATAGCTAGCCAACTGTTGTAGTCTTAGTTGTATGTTACTTCATATTATAGTTATATCAATGTAAAGCATTGTTTTCCCTTGTGTTTCTCATTCTTTCCCTGCCATGTCGTAAAATGTGGTGAAGCCATCGCTGTATTTGCTCCAAAGCAAATATTGGCCTTTCTAGTTTGCCCTGTTTTCTCCCCCCCCCCCCTCTCGCGTTATCCAAGAAGGTACATGACTCACCCACACCTGACGGACACCTGCCCCTCCCCCTGCCCCCCGCCGTGCCGCTGAAGGACACTCGGCAGTTGTTGTTTGGCCACTTGAGTCAGTTCGTGAAGTGTTGACCAGACGCAGATGTTTTCAACTTAACGTTTCCGCGGCATCCTTTGCGACAGGACACCGGTACATGTAGCAGCTAGCCTCTTTAGGCTCTACGCCTGGGGTATACATATCACTTTTATTTGTACTCGTGTTCTTGTGCTGCCCGGTTATAGATCATACTATAGGGGGCTATGTAGCTGCCTGATTAATCGGACAGTGTATTGAAAACTATTGACAGTGACTTGTGGACATAACGTCTCGATGTAAAACGTTTTTCGTACACGTAACTGTTACATACCATGGAACTGCTTCAGATTCACACACCGACGTAGCAGTTTGACCATGGGATACTGGGCAATAGGGAGATCATCGGGTTAAAATCTAACGGAGCGAAATCGTGTACAATGTATTACCCTTGCTTTGAATGTCCACACTTTGGATCAAGGGTGTAAAATCTGTATGTAGCTAGTTAATATAAGAAAACGTATAATGATATTAAGAGTGAAAAAATAAGACACTGTACGAATTTACATTAAAATATAAACATATTAGGCCTGCCATTAACTACCTAGAATGTCAAGGTCTTCCGTTGAAGGACGTGATGCAATATCCTCACTTTGTTACGAGATGGGGCGGGGGAACAACCGTGTTTTGTGCCAACTCTAGACGGTAAATGTATCCGTGGGCTGCGCTGTTTGTTATCGGTAGTGAAGGGTTTAAAATATTGTTTTTCTCGTGAGTAGAAAGTGTAAAACGGCCCGGCCTTCATTTGGATAACGGGCCCTTGTCTGGCACGCGTGCGTGTTGTTTCACTGGCGGCCTTCGGTCCTACACTTGACTCACAACCCTTTGTCGTTACTAGTCGGCTGTCAGGTAGAATCAGATGGATTAGCGTCTGTCTGGTGCTTTAGCTGACGTTTTGATTTATCACTGCATCAGACACTTTCAACACGATAAGCTGCTTAGTCAGATCTCCGCGTATTTGCATTATTAGCCAGAAACTTAACAAAAAAGCAAGTGTCACAAGCGACCCATAGACCTCCCCTTTCTCTTTGCAGATGTCAGATCTTCAAGGTCTGTACTGGTCACCTGTCGATCTATGAGGCAGCTTTAGTATGTGAGGAGGTTTAGGCAAACCTGTTTGGCTAGTCTAAAATAACACATGCTGGTAAACTGTTTCTTGATAGACAAGCACGTGCTCTAATACGAACAAACCATGTGTAAGTAGGATGATACAAATAAGGGTGACGTTACGGCAGTTCAATGCCACGCCGTCTGTGCTCTTTCATTCTCTCTCATGCTGTCAATACCAACCATTGCTGTTCAAAGTTAAGTGGCTATTTTCTCGGAAATGTAAAAATATTGGAGACGAATTGAAACAGGCAAGGAGGTCGTCTTGCAATTACATAAGTCTCATAATTCTCAACATCCAGTATAATTGCTGACGTAAAATATAGATATAGAAATCACGAAGACCCCCATGCTTCCTTTTTTCTGGAAACTTTATTTTTTAAATAGCCAGTATATTTGGCCAACATTTTATATCCTATGAACGCCATATTAGAGCAATGTGTGCTCCAGGCACGTAGCTTTACTCAGTTAGATAAAATCCCCTGCGGTTCATGTCTGATACCGATGATAATCATGAGGTATAGGAAGGGGTGGTTTGACTAACACACGTAAGTGTTAGGAGACATTTCTTTTTCCGTGGAGGCTGAACATATTCGGAGAAATATCGTCCATGTTCGTGTCCGCCACCCAGGCGCCTCCGGACCTCTTCGAGCCGATTCGGAACCACTCGTGCAGCAGCCCGAAGCCTGCCGAAGACCCTTCGCTGGTCTGGACGACCCCGGCCGGCTTCCAGGGGCGCCACCGACTTTCGTGTATCCAGGACCGCAGTGGAGTCGTGCCGGGCTTCCTGTGACCGTAGGGGCCTGGTGTCTGCTGTAGACCTGTTGGACAAGGAAGCAAAACTGTACATGAAGCGGTAGGTACAAATACCTCATGCGCAGCTACAAGTTATAGGTGACTCCTCATAGCTGTATATCAAGCTCGGTAGGTTGTGGAATGTTGAGCACCTGTGGAATGTTGTGATTGCATCACAAATTTTCCGCCGGACATGTCTGACCAATGGGAGGTGGTATTCACCCTACAATCTCTAATCACTTTAAACCACCAGCATCTCTGACCAATGGGAGGTGGTATGCAGAACAGTACTCCACCCTTGAGTCTCCGGGCACTCGACATGTCCACATACCAGTCAATCCGTCAATTTTATGTATATACATGTATATACCCCTTGCAAAAGAAGGAGCGGGAGTTGCTACAACCCTACAGTGCGACAATTCCTGTCAAAACTTAAAGAGGCAAACAATGAAAATATTTGACAGGCATGCAGCCACTCTCTCATTGGTCAATTGCAAACTACTAATTGCCATGCTATCGTATGAGAGTGGGCACATGTAAGTGACCACATGTACGTAGGTAAAGCTTATATCAGCACACTGTCGACATTGCGAGAAAAATGCTCACATGATGATGCAGGGAAATTCTTCTTACCTTACATTTGAAATGTGCTACAACTGTTAGCTTACAGTGACACTAAAAAAACACACTACAAGTGATCATAAGTACACGTATATCGTGTGTCACAGGAAAGTCTTTTTCCTCAAGGATTGTCGGGTAATCGTCCACGAGGGTTGAGAACACTATCAGCTCTAAACAATGATTTAACACTGAACCTTGACATTTGAAAATGTACTCAAGACAAGTTGAGGAAACAGCATAAAACCATCGGCACAGCCAACGATAGAATGTGCAGCTTACGGCGGCTTGGACCGTTATAGACGCTAACAAATGCGCACTCCTGTGGCGACCAAACCTTTTTACAAGACATCATAGGTACTGTGTGAAACAACAAACGATCTGCAGTGCAGTGTACACGACTATCATTTTCTTCTCAAAACAACACAAGATTGGGATGCATGGGAGGGTCGATAAAAGATCGAAAAGTATCGTTTTACACAAGATACGAGACCACAGCACTGTGTGGTGGGAATGTACTAGTAGATGGTGCTGTCAGTTAGATGCCTTGCTGCACAGCACGTCCAAAAAATCAATGTGCCAGGCTGAATGATAGCCAAACTCAAACATGACAAATATGTGCGGTTTTTTGTACAACATCTACAACTAATTTAGATATATACACGTACAACTAACTCTTGCATATACATTTATGTACTTAGAATGTGTGTTACAAAAACGTACCATACACGAGTCGTAAAAGCCTGTGTAATGTTGACAGTCTGACCTTCGTGCTCCGGACAGGAGACAGAGGACATGAGGGAATAGCTCACCTGGAAAACCAGGAAGTCTGTCGGCAAACCGTGACTCGGAGGCCACGGCCACAAGTATGACGAGTAGAACCGCCATGGTCTTCCCCCGGATGTTCGCCGACATGTTGTTTGGGCTGGAGCCTGTGGTGTTGGGACGTCACACGAGCCGCCGGTCTCCCTATATCTGCACAGACACGCCGTCAATCTCACTAACTACCGGAGATAACACCGGGGTTATCCACTGACAAGATCAAAAAGTTCGCTTCCAGCTAATCTTAGCCCATCGTTAAGAACAACCTCACGTCAATTGGGTACTTTGCGGCAACGACTGCTTCCTGTTCCACAAATTTCCGCTCTATTTTCCCCAGTTAAGTCATCGGTAATGGTAGATTTATTAGTTTCCACCTTACGTGCTGACCTGATATCAGCAATATCTGACTGTTGGATTCGCTAAATATGTTATTTTAGACGTGCTGTAGACAGAACGTTACTTGTACAGATTGTCGTATCTTCATCTTTACGACATGGTGCGCGATAATCTGTAATCTTTATGACTCTTTCCATCCAACCATTCTTTAAAAACTCCCTTCCGCTCGACAATGAACTCTTAAGCTCGTGCGCACAGAAAATGGGCGTGAAGGGAGAATTTCCAGTCTATGTATAGATGTTACAACGTTTAGTGTAGATGGCTCTTCCTTAGTCCTCGGTGCACCCATCAACGTAACGCTTTACTGCATATACGTTTGTTTGGAGAAAAGAGCGGAAAAATCGTTCCCGATCCTTTCAACTTACGTCTGAGAAGTTTTCAATGATACCCAAAGGCTTGCTAATGATAGCAATGAACTTACCGATACCAGCGTAAGCTTCTGTCACCCCCGAACTCTTTGTTGTGCTTGTCTGGACGTCAAGCTCCGAGCTTTCTCTGTGGATATAATATCCCCACTTGTCTCAGTTCTGCTATAAGCTTTGATCGCAGCATTTTCGGCGTACAGAAGCATTTTAAGGTTCTCAAACCAACAGTTCTGTGACGTGCGAACCTTAAGTACGGCACGCAGAGTCCGTAGATCTTGAGATAGGTAACGCTTTAAGCTGGGAATCCTTCAGTTAAGCAGACAGCTTTTCACGCACGGGTGTCGAGTATCAAACTACATGTTCTCACTGTAGTTGATCGCGTGTAAATGAAGGAAACCCAGTAGTCTTTGACAGTTGTTTTCCAATACAGGTGCATATTGCATTCTTTGCATTACTGTGTATTTCGTTAGAATGGGTTACTATCAGCTCCATTGTCAGACAACTTCTGCCACACATAAAACTTGCCACCGATATCTACATTATTTATCTGTATCCAGTACTTGTCAAAATTGCTATGTTTTTTGTTGTAACGCTCTCATCATCTAATATATGTTATCTTTAATATTTGTAGTAATGCATGTTCAAGAAATCATCGTTGTAAGATCTCGTTATTGTAGGATCTGGTACTCTCCTCTCCTCTCCTCTCCTCTCCTCTCCTCTCCTCTCCTCTTCTATCCTCTGAGCCATCAAAAAGTTTCCATTCTGTAGAGACCGATATAATCAGAGTGGTAATCAGCTACAGTAGTGTGATAATGCCCAGGTGTACGTGTTTTCCTGTAGATTACAACAGACTGAAATTGCCGGTAATACAAGAGTGATGAGGGTGACGTCAACGACCAGGATATAATTGTTCTGCGCACAATCACTGTTACAGACCGGACACGGGGTGATTTGGAAGGTTGTTTTGCAGAGTGACTCATGTCACAGTCAGCTATCATGACTTGTATGTAAAAGTGCACGTGATTTAGCGATATGTCAGGTTAACAGATAAAGGTTGAGATGTTACACGTCGTCTATGAGAAATATTTATTTCTCTATCAGGATCGCAGGCGGCAAGCAGCGCGGATAAATAACCATTAGGTGTTGCTGGTTAGTGCGTGGTTGATGGGCAATCAACTTCTTGTTAGAACCAAAGACGTAGCTATAAAATGCGCCAGTTACACAACTTCACGGCTGTTACAAAACTTCAGGACTTCGAATGACGTTTCCTGCCCTGATGTAAGCTTCTCCGATATATCCGAGTCGGTGTTGCTACTTATGATCAGGAGCTTTCTTCTTCTGAGACCAACCGAGCATGGGCCACAAAGAAATCACATGCGTTTTTCCACCAAATGTTTAATAGTCAAACTGGTGATGACGTGGCTACACCATTTGAAATGTTTGAAACGACTAATATTGAAATGTAAAAATAATAAACGAATAGATTTTTTTAAATGAGCTGAACCCATACGTCCATAAGTGAGATAACGGAACGGCTTCGATTTTGAAATCTGCGGGAAACATACTTGCCGAGCATCTATGTTAAGTGTTTGAAGTGGGTGTTCCTACACAACCACAACGGGTCTACTGTGCAGTGGTCATGGGGGCAACGACCTTGTGGGGCGCGCTCTTGTTACATTGTCTACCCTGTGTTACACCCATTGTCTACCCTTATCTTCTGCAGCCAGGGCTCCAATCAGTGGGGCGGGCCGCTAGGAGCGTGATTTAGCCACAATGTCTATGGTCTACGAGGGGTGTTCAAAAAGTTCTCGGCCTCACCTAGAAAATAAAGGTCAAACTCCTATTCTTTGGTATAACTGTATGCTATGACGTCTTACATCACTGCCCACAAAAATTCAAATTTTTATATTCATTAATTAGCACGTGACGCCCCTTGAAAATGGGGCGGGTGAGGGCAAAATCACAAAATGGCCGCGACAGAAACATGTGCTGTGATATCGATATCGATAGAAAAGGATGTCTCCTAAGGACATTCATGAAGACATGGTCAAGACACTTGGTGATGACTCCCCTTCTTATTCAACTAGAAAGAAGTGGGTTACTAGCTACAAGCGTGGCAAGGAGAGCACAAAAGATGAACATAGGTCAGGATGCCACAAATCAGCACCAGGGACAATCCAGTTGAGGCCATCCATCACATGGTAGTGAATCACAACTGTGAGACTGTCCAACATGTTGCAGGTTCTTTGGACTGTGTTATGACTCAGTTCACAATGTTTTGTCGAACATCCTGGGGATGAAAAAACTGTCTGCATGGTGGGTGCCTCGAATGTTTTCTGAACATCAGAAGTTAAACGGGCTGGACATTTCAAGGAACGAATTCATTCCAATCCATACAATTTCCTCAATACATTTGTCACCCAAGAATAGCAGGGTTCACCACTTTCACCCCGAATAAAAACAGCAGAGCAAACAATGGATGAAGAATTTTTCCCGGCCCCCCAAGAAGTTTTAGCGAGTTTCGTCCGTTGACAGGGTTTTTGCCTCTGTTTTCTGGGACAGTAAGGAAGTAATCATAATTGACTACATGCGAAGGGGTTAAAGCATCAATGGGGAGTACTATTCAACAGAATTGCGACAGTTGAGGACAACGATCAAAGAGAAAAGGAGAGGAAAGCACTGAGCTGGCGTGATGACAATGCACCTGTCCACACAGCACAGGGGTCAGCGACAGCAGCAAACGAATTTGGGTTTTCAGTCTAACCCCACCCTTCCAATTCACCTGACCTAGCACCCTCGGACTTCTACCTGTTTCCTAAACTCAAGTTCCACTTACGTGGTCAACGTTTTGATGGTAATGATGACGTCATCTATGCGGTATAGTCCAATCTGGGGGGTCCAGATGCAACCTTCTTCCACAATGGGAAAATAAAGCTGGAACATCACTGGACCAAGTGCATTGCAGTTAGAGAGGACTATATAAAAACATAGTGCAAGAAAAATTTTACTGCCCTGACGTTTTCTAGGTGAGGCCGAGAACTTTTTGAACACCCCTCGTATGGTAAATACTAATGAGAAAGCTCAGAAACTGCGTGCTTCTATTCACGGTTGCATAGACAAGGTATCCAGAGCGTCACCCGTATCTCTATATGCCCCATATTCAGCTCGTATTTAAGCACGGAGCGTATGAAGTACCCGCGCAATCAATAGGCACAGCACGCGCACGTGCACTTTCCTACAGCTGCTCGTGAAGATGGCTCTATCCGGTTTTGGTTCCGATATTTAATATAAGCCCAAAGAACTCATATGTTTCCTCGCTGTCTTAGTTCCAAAAAGGTTGAAAGGGACAGAAAGGTCAGAGGGGATTAGACGGTCTTCCCGGTGCCGTCTTCACCTGGTGAACAATGTAAACATTCCGGTAAACCACGGGAGATTCCCCGGTAAAACGTACATTCTGACTCTTCTTTTATCCGGTAATATACATGGTATTTAATAGGATCTGACGAAGGGATCATGCATTTTAGGTTGGCGTCACACTGTCAGTGACATTCGGTCAGAGAAATGACTAACTCTACCCTGTTAAAAGTGGACAACGAACAATCTCTAAAAATCGCGCGGTGATCGAGAGGATCCCGACGGTGTTCCGACCGAAAATAGGCTTTTGAGTTCGCAGACTCGCTGGGCGAGCTAGTTTCCTCTCGCTCTTTGACGCCAGCTTTATAACAATGATCAGCAAGACTCCGTTTCAATGCACGGTCTGTGTCCAAGTCATCCAGATGTCCCTTAATTAACTCCAGCATCTACAGTACACTTTACATAAGCATTTACATAAGCAGTTCCAAAGCCGGTGCTCGGCCGACCGATAAAAATAACTAATTCATTATATAATTCATTATATAATTCAAGTACCTGCTTTAAAAAGAGAGAAGAAATCCTTAAGGCTTAGTTTAGTTTATTCTCTGACTAGTAGTTGTTAAGACGTTACGTCATTCTGTTATTCTGTTATTCTTGTATCTTATGTATCATGTTACTCAGATTGATGTACATGTAACATCACTTTCTGATGTATGCATTTAGCCCCATGGGCATGAACATGCAAATAAATAAATTATCATCACTTGAAATTAAATTATAATGATAGTTAGTTACTTTTGTATCTGTTGACCGTGTCCGTTCCTCTTGTTTTGTCGGTGACCTGTACTTAGCGTGGCAAAATTGTGCAATAAAGGTCTTCATTCATTAACCATTTACACAAACTGTTCCCCTGATTCGTTTTGTTCAACTTTTTTCGTGTTTTTTTAAATCATTTTTTTCCTAGTATTAAACTGCCCGGTCGGACCGGCCGGGGGAGTCTGGGGGAGGCACTGTACTGTGTGGACTATCAACGTATAAATTGGTGCACTAGCCACTCCGACCATCACCATATTTGGGTACCGCCATTTCTGAAGGAAATGGTTACTGGAAGGACCCTGGGCTGATTATTAGGGTTAGAAAATAAATCGGTTACAACTTATTTTCATAACCTTTATTTTCTGAGTATGTTAACAGATTATGATCAAAAGTAATATTGAATGGTCCGAGGATTGGACTATTGTTTGATGTGTTGTGACTATTGGTGGACATAAACCAGTAGGATCAGACTAAGCTCCATGTAGGTGTTTCAAACGAGGCCCGTGGTTTGGCGTATTTTTGTAGTCTTTCAAGTTACAGAAATCTTTGCCAACACGGACGCCCACACCTTATTAATGCATTAGGTGAAATAAAGCACCAGTTAAAAGACTTGTCGAATACGTACTAAAATGATTCTTATTTAACGTCAGCTAAGATTAGAAGTGACAAAGTGGTGTGATCCTTGATCACATCACTGCACTATTTACAGCATAGATCAAATGCATGAGGCTTTTCTTGCATTAGATAGTTCATATCTGCAGACTTACTATGTTTGTTCGTGGAAACACGGGCGCTAAATGCAGCTACTACCGAGAAGTGTGCGTTTCAACGTGATGCCGATAAAAAAAGCAAAACGTATTTCCTCCTTACTGACGACCGTTTACGATTTCCGTTCAAACTGTTTTCGTGGAAACGCGGTATAATTGCAAGTCTGCTCACTGCATGTGGCGGAACTCACCATGGGGATCTTGTGTGGAAGCAATCGGCAGTTTTACTGTGATGCCATATACCTCCGCGTACAACCGGGGGAATAATTCGTGTGTTTCCTGCTGACTAGCAGGAAACACACGAATTATTCCCCCGTTTCACTGGGTGGTGCGACCACTGAGCGAACAAACATTTGACAGATCGTTCAACGAATTTCATAGTTTCATGATTTGTATATCTTTTTGTCTTTAAATCTTATCTTTATATTGTGCATCGTATTCCTGTTATGAAACCAAGTATTACACAACTCCAAGTTTGGTCGCTCACTTTTTGGGAATGATCCAGGACCATAAGGCAGTCACATGATGATTTGTGGCCAGGACCTGGAAAGGCTTTCCTTTAACAAACGTGAAGATGGGGTATATATGGGGTAGAATTGTAGGAAGTAGGATTAATTCATGTCAATAAGTATTTTCAAAAACCTTTTCAGACAAGATAACAATCCACGATTATGACTTTTGAGGGTTACATATTTAAACATTA